GCAATCACGCAATGTCTGTTTTAGCGTATTTACAAAAAACATTAAAACCTTGTTGCCACGATGTAGTCTACCTAAACAAATGGAAAAAAGAGGTAACTTGTCAACTATAAATTATGGAGAAGGTAAATCGTTAAAGCCCCTATTGAATACCACTTGCCATTTTATATCCACGTTCAAGAATCGCACCCAGGTTTTCAAGATCGTAGTGCAGTGCTTAAACCACTGCAACACCAATCCCAAACACTCTTTTAACAATTATGTAAACAAAAGTTTGATTCCAGGTCCCCAACTTTATTCATGATAGTTTTCAAATTGATTATGCTTAAGGAACTGGTTATCAATCTGATGCAATCTTCCGAGCAAAAAGAACGATTATCACGGTTGTACGTAGGTTGAACTTCTTTCGCACCGTATGTAGCCAACCTTGCTAATCAGAGGTGCGTGGGGGTGGGGAACAACAAACGAAACACAACAATCGCTTCTAAAGAAATGGGTTTTAAATCTAGATTCACAAGTGCATAGCTCCAGTGACTTCCTAATATCAGTTGGCTACCTACGATGCGAAAGAAGTTCAACATACATACAAGTACAGACTAAAATCCTATTCTGTAGTGTTATTAATCCTGCCTTGCTCCATAATGAAACATCCTTTGTAAGGTAATGTGTGTAGGCTAAAATGTGTACTTCACTTGTCAGTGTTGTACACGTTTGCTTTTCACTATCGGTTAGTTTTTCTACCCCAGTACGTGTGAATAAAAATTGTTCGTGATTCGCATCTACATGTTGCACACATGTTGTTAATCGTTGCGATCATCATCAGCTGTGATCAATCCACTACTCAATGTCGGCCACCCCAAGCCATCGCGCTCTCTCTCTCGGATTCCTGTTATGAAACAGTCCATCTGGCACCTTGTACATGAGCCAATTTCATCGCTCCACCATCTCTGTGTTGGACGTCCTTTTCCGGTGCGTTCCCTCCTCTGGCTCCCTCATTAGTCTTCGTCACCGGCCATCATCCCTTACAGCTGTGTCCCCTGCCCAAGCCCCCTTGCGTTTCTTAAGTTAAAGTGAACATCCACGCTCTCTTCTCTCTAATTCACAGCGTACATTTCTCCACGCTGCTTTGTATAGCTTTCAATTGTATTCATGAATGTCCTTTTTCATGTACCACAATTAATACAACTTTGAACGCGCACCATTCTGGTTACCATATTTCACTGCTCTCAAGATAGGCTATGTGCTCTCTATGTTTGGTTGTGTTCTTTTTTGCTAGAAAGCTATGTTGATGACTGGTGTGGTTTATTCAGTCTGGTTTAAAATGTGTTACAAGGTTCACTTGTGATAGTAGTTTGTGATGCATGGCTTGTAAGGGGCCATCCATTTAGCATGGAGGGTGAGGGGGGGGGTTAACCAAAATTCCTACGCTTGCGTACGGGAGTCTACTGACAATGTACGCATAGGAAACGGGGGGCGGGGGTAAAGTCTCGATCAAATCAGTCCACCTTGATCGTTTCTGCGTGGATTAAATATCGGTTTGTATAGGATTCAGAGGGGGGGGGGGTGCGTCAAGCTTACATACGCAGGTGGAGGGAGGTGTGTAAAGAGTACGCGTGCGTACAGGGAGGTGGGGGGTTAAGTTTTTACAGATTTTTGCGTACATAATAAATGGATGGCCCCTAATGCAGTTACCTGGTCCAGTTTAGTATTGCAGCAGATGTAATCCTCTGGATGTTACGTTTCCTGTTTGAATAAAGTGCTCTTTCAATTGTTACTTGTCATGTATTTTTTTTACCAAATGCAACTTAAAAAGACGATTTGAATTTGGCGTGTCAAACTGCGACTGCATCTCTTATGTTTGCTTAACTAGGGAAGCGTCAGTCTTGTGACTGCTTTTCAGGAGGGTCCTGCCAAGTTTTTGCACCAGGGGATCATGATTGCTATGTACAAGTATCGCTGAGTAATTCGCTGGTAGTTTTTTTTGTTTCAAATTTGACATTCGGACCATAACACGCATTGCCCTACTATGCAAATGATGTCAGGGGATCTTTCACGAGCGCTGTGACAACGCGTGGGTTTTTATTATGGTTATATGCCCGTAGTAATGATCAAACCTGCAACAAGGGGAACATGCGCTATCATACGGCCCCTGATGCGCAGAATTTGCCATTGAGTTAATTTCGTTCCTAGATTCTCCCTCGCTGCAGGAGGATCAAAGGTTCAAATATATACTATTTAAGGAGCTTGAAACGAATGCAATACCATTCTGAAATAAAATTTCAACAATACAGTTCGTGCCCCGGTAGTTTAAGGTTGCATGGGGTGGGTATATACAGCTACTGTAATTTATCCATTCGAGTAAAATCGAAATTTCGACGATATTATCCAAGCCAAAAGGATGAAGTTTTTCGTCGTGTCTCCCACTATTCAGGTTGGGTCTATGCATAATTATCTCGTGGCTTGTAACTAATATGAGTTCATTCTAGATTTGAAGCTTTCGTGACTGCAAGGATTCATACTCTTTGGTTTATTCGGTAAAGTCACGTAGGTATAAAATAAATGAAAACAACTAAATTAAATCACGACGTTTCGGGCGCAACACAAGTGTCCGAAACGTGATTTAATTTAGTTTTCAATTTTTTTTTACCTACGTGACTTTACCGAAAAGACCAAAGATTAATCTGACTTAATGTTAATACTCGCCGAAAGTGAAGGACTTTGACCATATGGAGAGGCATTTAGGTTTAAATACCAAGAAACGACGGTGGAAATGAAAGCGATAGACACGTATTTGTTAAAACGTGGCCAGGCGTGTTACGTCTCCTCGGATCCTTGGGATGATGGTGGCTTTTGAATATTCACTCATTAAAACAAATCTTAGCAGCTACAGAACTTCCAAGCTGATAATGTTTTATGTGCATACCCGTGAGTGCTCGAAGGCCGTACTACAAAAAAGATTAGAATGTATACGAAATATGATAATTGTTTTTTTTACCCTTTTATCTGGCAACAAAACTGACACCTTTTTTTTACAAGGAGTCATGTTTACATTGGCCACAATACCTGCGGTCGGAATGCAAACAAAAAACACAACTCTGATAATGTATGCACTGTCCTTGAAATTGATTGGTCCACACCCGAGACAGCTTTTCTTAGAGCCTAGTCTCACATGGTGTTGGACCAGATGACGCCTTTTGGCGTGTGGACCAATCAATTTCAAGGACATTATCAGAGTTGTGTTTTTTGTTTGCATTCCGACCGCAGGTATTGTGGTCAATGCAAACATGACTCCTTGTAAAAAAAGGTGTCAGTTTTGTTTCCAGATAAAAGGGTAAAAAAACAATTATCATATTTTTCTACTGGCAAAGGAGGTTCCAATGGAGGTATACGAAACTTAACAGTTTTTTTTCTCGTTCTGTCGTCATCTTTGTCTCACCTCAATTCCACGGATTGGGGTTTAAATGCACGTGCCCGCCAACAGGGGGAGTGCACAGGGCTTAATACCCACAAATCATAGCGGCTTCTCAACGCGAAAAGCCAGATACGCACTCACTTTAGTGAAGTTAAATAAAGAAATGAAGGTAGTAGATGTATGACTATTTTAATTTAAAATAAACTTTGAGAAGCATTTTCTGTTGCTAATACAATTGCATTTAGTGTCCACGTAAGGGGCCCCATAGTGTACATTGTATGGAGGCTGAGTATAAGTATGGCCGAGAAGACCTGTAAGCCTTTGATGTGTTTTCGGGTTATACCGAATTGTTATTTTTGGAGGGAAGCGGCCGAAACTCTTGGGTTTGTCGCTTCCTCTATACAGTTTTAAAGAAAGGGTTTTCAATCGATACCGTGCGCGATTTGTATATAAGTCCCGACTGTCGTTGAGGTATGGCTCACGGTTGTAACCACGCACAGAACAGTATTAGTATGGCATAGCGTTGTAGTCACCGAATGAAATATACGTTGTCGAGCGCAAATGGTTACCGGTACTCTTTTATTTGGGCATACCAATTAAAGCAATGTTGATTTTGAGAAAGACGTTCTTAAGTTGCCAACCTTTTAGAAATAAATATTTTAAGATTCTTCCACGAATCCAAAGAAGTCGATCTGTTATCCATATAATACATTTTGGAGGATGGGCAAATTCAAGTTAAATTTTCGCTGTTTAATCCATCTCTTATTAATAACACCGGCAATTAATCATGAGAGAAGCGACACCCGTATAGGTTTTGGCCTCTTCCTTACAAGGATACAGTAAAAATGCAATCATTAAGTTAGTAATATCTCCATAATCTTCATATTACATTTCATAACCTGTAAAAATTATACAACCCCAGGAAATGTTGGACACTCCCGCCCATTCCTCCACTTTTTGTGGGCTTCTCAGGCTTCTGTTATCCAAAAACATGTCTTATAAATTAAAATAATTGTTTTAAGCTTGAAGCAACCACATTGTACAATATTATGGTGCCCAAGCAGTCAGACATTTGAGTCTTGATGCGCATGACGTCACTGCCTTGATGTCACCTCATCGCTAACACAAAAATGTGAATACTCAAATGGGAAGTATTGTATTACACGTAATTATCGCTGTTGTTTATGACTTTTCGACTGCAACACAAGCATTCATCATTTTTCACACTTGATGATGATTGCTTGTGTTGCAGTCGAAACGTCGTGAGAATTTTTCTTGTTTTATATTTTTACTATTTTATTATTTCCCTTCTACGTGACTTTACCGAAAGAACCAAGAATAATAAATTCTGTTTTTATTTTATTCTTTTATTTTTTCCCTTCTACGCGACTTTACCGAAAGAACCAAGAATATATAAAAAAAACCCCCACTAAGGGTTTGACGGCTCTGATTAAATCGTGCCTAATCGAATCGCTGCGCGCTCGAATCGACGCACGACAACGCAGCGACGGGAATCGATTCCCTTTTCGTTGGGTTCCGGTTACCCCCCCCCCCTGCCGCCCCCCCCCTCCCTGGCAACCGTTGCCAGGGGCCCAAGCGGCGGGGGCTTCGCGCGCGTTGTGAGGCCGCCGGTTAAAAAGGAAAACTTCCATCGGCGGCTTCGTCGTCGTTGTCGTCGTCGTTGTTGTTGTTCAACCAGTTTACAACAAATGTGCAAGTTTAAAACAGCTGCTTGAGAGGAGAAACCTCGTGGGCTTTCGACGCAAGCGTCGTTTGCCGGCTGTGGATCACGAGAAGAGGTGAATGATAACACTAACAAAAAATGTATATTTTTTGAAAATATCTTAAAATATTTTTTTATGTTCCTGGGTAGTAAGTGTTGTTTTCTAATTGCTTATGCCGCAAAAGTATTGAAAATGGTTATTATCACCCAACAAACTTTGCTTTTGTGACCAGGACAGTGAGAGAAAACGTGGTGTGCGTTTGCGTCATTCCTTCACGTAAAGTCGTGGTCACAAAAGCAAAGTTTGTGGGGAATAAGAGCAATTTTATATACTTTTGAGACATAAGCAATTAGAAAATAACACTTACTACCCAGGAACAAACATCGTGTTAACCAAGTGTAACAATAATGACGCTAAACGTCGTGGTGTGGGTTTCATTAAAGGCGTTTGCGCCCGTTAAGTCTGCAATTGTCAATGGCGAGTGAACCAAAGTTAAGCGATTTAATATTTTTGCAAAAATTAAATACTCACGTATATAAGGAACGACGAGAGCATATTAGCCGTGTGTTAGCGCAAGTTCTGCGGTGAGAGATGTTTAAAATAGTCTTGAGGTTTTTTCGGTAAAGTCACGCAGGTAAAAATAAGAAATAAAATAATAATAAATGCAAATAAATCACATTTTCTTTTTTACTTTAAATTTTTTACCTACGTGACTTTACCGAATAAACCTAAGAGTATGAATCCTTGCAGTCACGAAAGCTTCAAATCTAGAATAGATATTTAAAATGTATTACTTTAAGCTTGAGCCCACGTGTAATTATTGATGCGTTAGAACGAGTTTTTTTTATTTTCTTCAAGTTACTATTTTTCTACGTGGATTATGTTTTTTTATGTTTGTTTAAAATAATGACTTACGATGCGAGATTATATTGTGTATACAGACATAGGTAGTGATATGGCATTCACCCAGCAGTGGATACACAGCGGTTGATGATAGTAACCGCATTCGAACGTTAACTTTATAATGTGAAACCATTAATAATTATAAACACGCTTTGATACCGTACTTTTAAAAATTTAAACGATTTATGTTTCAGTGTAAGAAGTTTGTCTTGTCTTCTTGGTTCTTTCGGTAAAGTCACGTCGAAGGGAAGTAATAAAATAAAATTAAAATAATAGTTATTTTTATATTTTTTTATAATTATTTTATTGTTTTATTTGTATTATTTTATTACTTCCCTTCTACGTGACTTTACCGAAAGAACCAAGAAGATGAATCCCTGCAGTCACGAAAGCTTTAAATCGAAATTTAAGTTTGTCTTGTTTTACACGCAGTTTAGCCGTTTAATTGTTGCGAGTCAATGAAGACTTAAAAATGTTCTACAAACGACAACAAATATCCCTTTTTCTACCTACGTGACTTTACCGAAAGAACCAAAAACTATGGATTCCTGCAGCCACGAAAACTTCAAATATAGAATGAACAATTAACCCAAAATCACAACAACGCTTGGTCCTGCAATCCCCGTTGTTGTGTGGTGTCGGTAACTGTGAATGCAGTTGAAGGAGTTAACATGCGCTTGTTGTTATTACAATAAATAAGCCAAACACGCTGCCACATGGCGTCCTAATTCCACTGGCAAACACGGGCCAGCTTTGGCCACATTTGGTGCGGCGTTTGAATTCGCGGACGGAATTCCAGACAGACCCCACTGGCTTACAGTACAGTACTTTATTATTCATTCACTCTGGTGCCCCTAATTCCTGTAGAGTGACCGTGCTTCGTCACCACGGCATGATACCCACAAGCGATGGGTTCTATTCGTGCGTGTGGCTAAATGTTCTTGAGTTAAATGCCGATGTCTGCCGTGAGCCACGACGAGAGGGTTTTGCTGTTCGTCCTCCGTTGCAGTTTGGGTTGTACGGCCACAATTGTGTGACCGTGGCTTGTCCTTCATTTTACATCCACGAAGATGTGCCGCATCGGCGTGTTGATGTGTTGATGCGGTTGATGTCTTCGAGGAATGTCAAAGCCGGGAGATGCGATGTTAACACTGACCGAGCCAATGTTAAACAGTCCAGCGTGTTGACCAGGCAATTATTAAACCGATATCACGAGTTTCGTCGAGTCGTCTGGCTGCCCGCAGTTGATGAAGCCATCAAGCTCACCAAGCCAATAGCAGCCTTGTTAGCCAACACATAACGGACTCAACTCAGTCAGGGTTGACCCAAGGTAGCGAGTTGATGACGTCGATTATTGGGCGTTGACCAATGTAAAATGCGTTGACCAAATGAGGAGGTAGACTTGGGTAATCAATCAACCTAGCGAACTGGTCAAGCGGAGTTGACCAACGCAGACTTGAACAATTATATGAGTTGACCAGGCCAGAAAGTTGACCCATCTAGGAATTGACTTGTTTATTAATCAGCATACAGAAACTTGTCTGCGTTCATGAGCAAAAACCATCCCGCTCAGCCACCCAAGTAAGCAGTCGCTCTGTGTGGGTTTAAAACTCTCTGGCTGCAGACGCCAACAAAGCCGCTGGGAGACAGCCACGCTGGGTCCTCTCAGCGTTTTGTTTTAAATTCCTGTTTCGTTTGGCTTGTTGTGTGGAATGTTAAAACCACCGGGAGGCGCGTAACGGGTTCCCAATCATGGCCAAGGGGTACAGTGTTCTGGACCACAGGCTATGTATGGATCAGATACTCCATAAAGTTGTACTCATCGCAGAATTCTCGAGTTGTATTAATTGTCAACAAAGTTATGATAAATGATTAGAGTCGGGAGTATTTTCAGTAGTGGTCTACCATCGATTTTCTAAGTTTACGGTTCGAGTGAACGGTTGTATTGTCTTGTAATGACCAGAGTTAGCAAATTATTCCTTTTATATAATCTAAAAGTGGATTACCAAGAAGAAGAATAACACGTTAGGTGAGTGAGATCGCATGTTCATGCATGTTGGTAGTGGCTACTAAAAGTTGGGATGTGTTGTACGAGATGCAGAGTTTGATAAAATAATGTTTTGAGAGATGAAAAAAAAGCTTCAGTACAGTCTACATTGTAAAAAAATGCAAAAGCTGGACGTTTCAGTTTAGCATTCAGGCAGCTGGGAATGCCTCCCTTTGGTTAAAAGCATGTGGAAGATAAAAGTTAATGTTTATACATGGGGAGGGGGTGTGTAAATGACAAAGTCACAGTGGACATTCTTAGCACAAATGTCCATTATCAGCCCTGAGCCTGTGGTTGGAAATTCCACGTATGCATGGCGGGTGCCAAGTCTGTGCAATTGACTTTGTGCAAAGCAACACTTGTATTCACGATTGGGGGACGTGGACTGAGTCAGGCCTGACTGGGATTTGAACTTATAACTTTAGTACCGTGAGTCCTGAACACTGCAATATGTATTGCTAACAGATCATTTGTCTGATTATTGATTAATTTTGACTCACACTTTTACCCTCTGTGACTTTTTCATGCTATAAATTGGAAATATTAAATTCATCTTAATTTTAAGCTTTCGTGACTGCAGGAATCCATACTCTGGTTCTTTCGGTAAAGTCACGTAGGTATAAAATAAAATAAATCACGACGTTTCGGGCGCAACACAAGCGTCCGTCATCAGGTATTATGCCAAGTCTCCCACGCAAATGAGTTTCAATGTTTCAGTGCTATCATCTGGTTCTAAACAATGTCAAATACATGTTTTATACATATATTTCCCAATTACATTGCAGCATCCCACTGGTGGTTGTCAGCTCATCTACAAACCCCCATAAAAGCTGACCCATCTTTCTCAGCCACAAGGGGGAAGCCAACCCATCAACTTAGTCTTGGCCGCTTGGCCATGCAGCCTCTTGCCCATCTTGTGGTCGGTCATTCAATGCCAGATGGTCGGTTCATACAAAGGGGGGCATACCTTTAAGGTCACATGCCAACCATGCACCAGTGATCTGGCAAAATGAAGTGATTGCTGCTGCTGTTAATCCTGCTGTTACGGCTGCTATTAATCATCTAGCTGCTGCTATGCAGATACCCAGATAGACATCCAGCCTGTCACTCAACTGGCCGATCAGCCGTTGGCAACGTTGCTACCCATTCACCTGGCAATGTAGCCACATCCAGCCTCCCCCACCCTTCCACCCCTGTCCTGGCCACCCATCAACTAGAACAAGTGGTCACCCAGCCTCCTAGCCACCCTTACCCACCCAGAGCAGAGCGTCCTGGGCGTGTACAGTGAATGGTTGGACGTGTGCAGGAGCGTGGGTGACTCGGTTATAAAAATGCAGTTGCCTCACAACGGAGTCAAGCTACGGGTGGTGGGGGGTGTTTCGTTACCGAGGCAACAGGGGGGGCTGCATTAGTAACCGCGATGCAGCTCACGGACTCCTTACACAGCAGCGTTACGGGGTGGGTTCTGTGAAGACGGCAAGGGCCCTATTCCAATTTCTTATTGTTGCTGTTGTTTGGATGCTAGGGTTAATTTGTGTGTGCGTGCTGGAGGCTTGAATCGAACTGATCGTTTTTGGTCATTAAGGAGATTTGCATTGCATTTGTGAGATTGGCGGCTTTATCACGGATTAAATGTGTTTAGCTGTAAATCGTGCATTCTGGCACCCGCTGTATATTTTTTGCACCGTTGTTTTACTGTAACACGTTTAATAGAGAATAAGCATTCATGTATTACGCGACAGATGTATAAACGTGGAAACGGTGACAGTGGGAGATATGTGTGGCTTATTTGAATGTGTTTGACTGTGGTGGAGGTAATGTAATGGGTGTTATGTCGGTTGGTTGTGCTGGTGATGTGGTTGTATGCAGGTGTAGGTAGGTGCTGGTGATGCCAGGACAGGCGGATTTGCCCATGATGGGCGGCTCTTTCAATCCAGGGGCCTTCGCGGGCCCTGCCGCCTACACGCCCGTGCTCATGCCTTTCAAGGTACCCGTCACAGCCGTGTGTACGCTGGTATGTGTGCGTGCGAGAGAGAGATTAATCGTATGTCTAAAACAGTAATTTCTCATTTAAGATGCACTACTGGAAAGATGCCTCTTTAAGCGAGAATGCTTTAAGTGCTGAATTAATGAATTCACATTACAGGGCACAAATAAATAAAGCAATGCAATTTTGCTGCGCATTTGCACTATGCAATCAGCCTGCAGTCATCCCACGGCGGGACAAATAACCGACACGAGGGTACACCTCGTACTTTATAATTCCGTGCATATGCCCGGAATTGCCATACCGCTCAGCCACGCAGCTCAAGAAAGTTGTTTGTCGTCGACCACTCAGAAAGCGCGTTATAACGGTGCGCGTTCCACATTATGACGGGCGCGTACTGTGTTGTGCGCGAAAAGTGTTCCCAAACAGAAGAACTGTGTTGTTGTGAAAACGCGTCTAGCGAGGACTTATGTTCAAGACATAGGGAGAGATTATGTTTCGATTTAAAGCTTTCGTGACTGCAGGGATTCATCTTCTTGGTTCTTTCGGTAAAGTCACGTAGAAGGGAAGTAATAAAATAATAAAAATAATGCATAATAAAATAATTCTCACGACGTTTCGGCCACAACGCAAGCAGCCGTCCTCAGGTGAAGACCTGGTCAGACCTGGTCTTCACCTGATGACGGCTGCTTGCGTTGTGGCCGAAACGTCGTGAGAATTATTTTATTATGTTTTATTTTTATTATTTTATTACTTCCCTTCTACGTGACTTTACCGAAAGAACCAAGAAGAAGGAGAGATTATGTTGATAAGCCTTTGGTCAAATTACCCGGAATGCGCCCCATCTCGTCAGACCTCGGAAGGTAAGCAGAGTTGAGTCTGGATAACGCTTGGATGGGTGACCACCACGAACTAACAGGTTGGTATAAGCTGTGCGGCTACATGGAAGGCACAATAGGACAGTGCTGTAAAGTGCATTGTTATATTGTACTTCTATGCTACCAGGTCTGTGTTTTTCACCTTGACCAACCCGCATTGACCAGCGTGGTGATGTATGGTCAAATAACCCCCACGGTCTACAGGGCGTGATGAGGGCCTTGTCCAGCAGTGGATTGGCGAAAGAGCTGTGTGTTGATTTATATTTGTATTGCGATGCAATTATTGACTCATAATTAATCTCCACTGTGTTGAGTGTTGTGCCTTTTCGCGTTTGGATTTCACTCCAAAAGTTGCGTATGCGCTTTGGCAATGTGCATTGTGCAGTGCACGACATATGGTCTGTGTCGTAAGCTGTGCGTCTCATGGTGCGTACCATCGTCATGTGCCACGCGGAGTGTGCTGTGCGTCATGCGGTGTTCATGTTATCGAAAGAACAACTTGTTGTTGCCTTTAAATGATCAAAACTGCAGTTCTTTTGGTTCATCAATTAATTATTTTAAATTAAAATCCACCGTACAAGGTACCATTTGGTGGAGACTATAAAAAGAGGGTGCCCAATGAAGACTTGGATTAAAAACATTGTAGAATGGATGTGCTTGACCACAATCAGCTGATTTAAAACTAAAAACTTTTTTTTATTAAGGCCCCAGTGAGCCATACAGCTCTTTTTCAGAAGCGACCTGGCCACAAATGATAGCTCAACGAAGTGACTTATCACGTGAAAAGATAAGAGGGTGATCATAACCAGAGCTGCCAGTTTTATTGGATTGTTTTTGTGCTTTTGCTGTACCTCAAGTTCCGCGAGCGCAGGGAGGCTGTGGACTGGCGGCGTCTGGGCGCGGTGGACGTGGAGCGCGTGGCTCGCGAGGTCGACGTCGCCACGCTACAGGCAACTGACGCAGCCTCCTCCAATTCCCTCCACTCACACACACTGCAGCCATCTTCTGCCTGTCGTAGCCTTCAGCAGCTACACCGCGTGTAGCCTTTGTCAAAATCAACTGGAGTGTACTCGGTCCAGTTGATTTTGTTAAACTCTGCTGGATTTGAGCCTGATGACTGACATGTGTAAAACATGTGTTTTCGGTTTCTGCATAGGGTAGTGCAGCAAAATCCAGTTTTGTAATGTACTATGCTCCAATGCATATGCTCACCATCTTCACCAACCCTCTGATGTGCACACTGCTTGGAGATCCCTCCTCATGGCTTTTCCCACTGATAATGCCCTCAATCTGTTGAAGTCCAAGATTTAGACTTTCCTTTTCTTCTAATTTGACTTTTTTTTTCATCTTGACTCTCACATGCTATGCTGCATTTAAGTTTTTAGCTTCCTACCATCCTTTTTCCAAGCTCGATGTTTTGACATGGGAATATTTGAGCTTTTTTTGCTGCATGCTGACCCGAGAAAAGAGGGCTCTTTGCAAAAATTCAAACACATTTGACCCTGACAACTGTCCATTGGCATCCCTACCGCTAATTACTTGCTAAAACAAACGCGCGTTGGAAAGCATTCCATAATCCACGCTATGTTTTATTGTTTTCTTAACTAGTTTTGAGTTGCTTCTTCCCCTAATCTCCCCGGCGGCGGTGCGTGCTTTCCCCACTCACAGGAGTACATCACGACAGTGACGTACTGCGATGTGACCAGCGAGCGCTGCGCGCGCTGCCAGGCGCCCGCCGACCCGCTGCTCGTGAAGCTGCTACGGTTGGCCCAGCTCACGGTCGAGTACCTGGTTCACACGCAGGGCTGCCTGGGCGCTGGCGCGCACGCCGCGCACACACGCACGCAGGTAAACGGCTCGACTTCGGTGCACGGGCAGTGCAGCACTGGCGTCTGTAGCAGGGAGAACTTGATAGGAAGAAAATCACCTCCACAAAAAATAAATGGCTCTTATCTTTCACATACCAGCAGACATTAATTTCATCCAGGTTACTGACCAGCAATTGTTTTTTATTCTTGCACCCAGCACACCACTGCTAAGCACGGTTGGCTACGTACGGTGTGAAAGAAGTTCAACATACATGTTAGTCACGTGCTTACTCCAGTCTGCCAGCGACCCGGAAAATATTGAGAAATTAAACTTTGCATACCAGGCATATAACCATGCATCGTTTCATCAATTAAAATAGCTTATTGTACTCATATATAATACATTAATTAGTTTTTAAGTATATTATTCATGTGAATCATATGCAGATATAATTAGATGCAGCTGTGGGGCTGTGGTACATGGCGGTCAGCGGGGGATGGTGCAGCAACATTCTTTGTTCTACTGTACTTCTGTGCCCCCACATTTATGCTCGCTGCCTTCATCAACGTGCACTGTCCAGAGTAGTGAAGTATGGTCAATAACCCCCCACTACCCGCATAGCATGGCAAGTCCCCTACCCAGCAGTGAGTTTACCACAGGGTTGAGCACATCTATGTGTTTGTATTGATTCTTTATTTTATTCTGTCTCATTTGTAGAGTGTTCATTCAAATCGACTGATTGATTGAACTACACTACCAGCATATGATACATTATATGGGTTTTATCTTCCTTTAATTAACAAAAGAATGGAAAATTCTACTTTAAGTTAATTGTACAACTGACCACAGGGACGTGCACTAACTGGGAATCAATGTACATGGAACCCTAAAGACATTGGACCTTGGAGACGTCGAATGAAGTATACATGGGACCTTGGGGCACAGAATCTGACTTAAAGTGCACACGCGAACAAGTTGCACAGGAATCAGGGCACACCCAATGTGTGAGTCTCAGTGAAACCCAGCAAAACTAAGACACAAGAGACAAAGGATATGATAAACATGGGATCCAGGACACAGATCGAAGACACACAGAACCTGAGACGCAAGGAACACACTGTATTCAGGACATGTGGGGTCTAAGACATAGTACCTGGGGCACACAATACCTGGGATGAATTGAACTTAGAAAAGATAGTACTCTAAACACAAGTGACTGAGAAGATATGGAACCCAAGATGCATGCGGAAAATAGAGTAGGGGAAGGGGCAGGCTGGGCAAGATAAAATGGCCAAAATGGCTGCGTGGGTCCTAATTTTTTTTGTCCGTGGCTCCAAAAGCCTTTTAATCAGACCTGGGAAACACCTGATGTGAGACACACATCCTGCATATCTAGGTCAGGGACACATGGCAACCAGGACACGAGGCGACACGACTTAACACGTGGCTTAATTACTCACGAAAAGCACTTTCTTTTCTGACAGCCTGTAAGGCTAAACCGAGGAACGTCTACTTTTGTGGGCACGCACGCACGCACGCACGCAGGGTCTAGCGGCGGAGCTGGGCCGTGCCCGAGCTGAAGCGGAACGCCTTGCGGAGGAGCTCAAGGCCGCGCGCGACGAGTGTCGCCGCAGGAAGAAGTTGGTGGCGGCGTTGCAACTCATGCTGCAGGCCAACGCCAACCACTACCACAAGGTGCCCACCGCCATGCAGGCGCTCGCCCCAACCCAACTGTGTCGCCCGTCACTTGGACTCGGTTGCCCAACTGACCCGGGCGGCCTGGTTACTGGGGTCACCGTAATATGGCGATACAGCGAATTAAGGTCCGCGATAATCATATCGTCCTTTTTGCCGAGTGTTGTTGCATTTTGATAATGGTTGCTCATCACGTTTTTTGTAAAAATTATATTTGGTATTTTTTTTAAAGCAACCACGTGTTTGTTCATTATGGCGCTTTTAAAATAGAGCAAAGGACAACGATAATAGAATAAAAATGCCCCGTGCAGTAATAAAGGTATAGAAATCTGATATTGCAATGATCATCATATTGTAAAAACTGATGCAGGGTTTGTGTGGAACAAACGAATAAGAGGTTTCTAGGAGTAAGCAATAATGGGTCTGTGAAAGGCAGAGTGGGTTGCCATTCGGACTCTGAAAGATCATGAGAGTTTTTGTCTGCACTTCTGCCCATCTGAACTTCCTCCACTGGTTTGACAACAAACATCAGTATGGCCTGTATGTAGATTTCTATAAAAATATAATGCCATTCTGTCTCATAGAGGTTCAAAGCATGGTCGTATACAGGTCAACAATCCCTAATCTACATAGACTGATGCTTAACAACATATGCACCCCGTAGTTATCCAGGATTTCATTAAAAGTTCTGTATTCCAGGCATGTGTTAGCATAACCAGGGTTAGAATATTGTACAGACTGCTAAAGCTTCATCATTATCATCATCAGCCATGAATCAATCCTCTAATGTGGGAAGACCTCTCCAAGCCGTCGTCATTCTATCATGATCCTTTAGTGTAACATTTCAGGGGTGCCATGGTAGTTAACGACCTCAACTGGTATATGGGAGGTCGTGGGTTTGATCCTGACCCTGGTGCCTGTATATTTGGAGTTTGCTTTTTGGTTCTTTTGGTAAAGTCACGTAGAAAGAAGAATAAAATACGTACCTTTACCGAAAGAACCAAAAAGTAATTCCTGCAGTCACGAAAGCCCCAAATCACATTTGGAGTTTGCTTGTGGTCACGTTCATTTTTCTCTGGGTCCTCCCGGTTTTTCTCTCCATATTTAGAAACTTGCGTATAAAGTATTTGGCTGCTATAAATTTCCACATGATAAGCCACTTCGTTGGGTTATCATTTATGGCCAGGTCGCTTGTGCAAAAGAGTTATATAACTCAGTGGGCTTTACCTGGTAAGAGAAAAAAAGTTTAGTTTAATCGTTTTTAGTTTTCATATCGCACCAGCATTCGAGCTGATATTTCATCACTCAATTTCCTCCTGGGTGTGTTCCCATCTTTGGCTTCCACTCCATAATTATTCTGGATGACCAGCCATTATCCCTTCTGGCAACATTTCCTACCAAAGCTCACATTTCAAGTCGAATAGTGCACAAATACGCATGGAAAGGTGTGTGCTTGGAACTACATTGAGAGATAGAAAGTGGAACATGTAAATTAGAGAGCATACGCAAGTTAGATATATGATATTTCTAAAGCTTATATAGACATATTTGGAAGTGAATGTTAAACTCTTTAATAAATAACTTATGATATTTCATATGTTAATAATTTTGATACTGGCAAAAGAGGGTCCTCCCATAGATATAGTACATGGAATTAATTTCAGTGACATCAGATTGATCAGTTTCATGAATTTTCACCCCCTGGTGCCACGAACATAAGTCTCAGCCACCAGATGGGTCCATGTGGAGTTTTGCCCCTAGGGTAGGTACGCATGAATGCACGGGCGCATAAGGCCATGCACTCGTAAGATTAAAACGGAAGCAATTGCCTTTTTCATGGTTGATTTAAAAAAAAACGTCGTGCTTTAACGCCGAACCTCGCTGCCCCGCCGCACACGATCACGTCAAAAGCGAGTGAGCGTGTGCAGCCATGCGACGCAGTGCACGCATGGAAGAGAAGGCGTCTTCAGACTCCTTACACCGAGAGTGGGAAACCTTTCCATTGCTGAGGGCTGTATACGTAACGGTAAAGGTGTAGCCCCACAATTACCTGTTCACGCCACTGCTGACGGAAAGGCCTCTAGTAGAGGGCGATCTAGAGAAACCCTCTTCCAGTAATTTTGGCCTACCGTTCCATGCTGGCCTGATGTCTTGAAAAGAGGTAGGAGTACCCGCACTTTACCCTGCCACTCGCTGATCGACTAACTGTGGAGTGTTAATTATACTGTTGGGTGGACAGAGGCGGGATAATTTATGAAACTTGACAATTGTTTCAACTGCTGCGCTGGGAGAACGAAGCAGCGACTAGATTGAAAGTCCAGGGTTCTAACTCTTAGAACACATCAGCATTCTGAGGGCTGAAGAGGGCTTACAAATACTTTTGGTGGGCCATGCATTTGATCACACTCGGACTCTATTGCATTGATTGTGTGCTCAGAACTACTTGAAAGAGAGAAGGTGACTGAACACACTAAACGTAGAAACACAATGTTGCCAGGTCGAAAATATATTCCTCTCTAGTACCTGAGTAGTGCAGCCGAGATGCTTCCAATGATGCATTAATGTTGTTGGTGCACCATTCTAAAGTGGTAAGGCTCATGCGACCCAAGGTCGCATGATATAAAGTCATAAGTTCACAATGTGACTGCCCACGTTGGAGGCATGGCTGTGCTGAGAACGCCACTGACCTTTAAAGGCCTCTCTCCCCGGGGCGGATAATGTCTGTCCGTGGACTGCGGAGCAGGTTTTCTGTGATACGGTTAACGCTACGTGACAATACAATTTACATGCAAGTCCCTCTTTGAGATCTGGAAAGCTTAACTGACATTCATTCAGGATGCGAGTTCAAATCCTTGTCTGGGGTTGTCCCTCTAGGTTCGATAGAACAAGTGCCCCTCTGTGGTAAGTCAGTAGTGGTTGTCCTACTGAGAGACTGGTCTACTCCATAGGAATGTGGAATTTCCACCACAGATTCATGGCCCCCAACAGATTAGCTCCACTTGACGCAGTTATCTGGCTTGACCACCTGAATGTAAAAGTGTAGTTGTTGTACTGCATCGACATCAGCCATACGAAAGAAGAATGGTCCTTTGAACATGGAGACACATGAACTTAATTATTTGGGAGAGCCTTACTGAGTATCCGATCACTGAGTTCCCACTCAACCACTCGAATACTGTGCCTACCTTAAGAGGTGCTTGCTAACAGCATCTAAAATGCATCTCACCAGGGCTCCTTGTGTGTGCCTGTATTTATGCGTGTATGCAGTGCCAGTTTTGTGATAAGGCCTTCATGAACTATGCCTACCTTCAGAACCACGTGGAGCGCAGACATCAGGAGGTCACAGAAGGAGGTACCTGGACACATACACACACAGAAAGACCTGAAGCAAAAGAATAATACGTAATTTAGCCCTGCAGACCATATGAACAACTGCTGTTTGTGAACACCTATTACGGTCTGCACATCACATGAGAGAATTTTATGGCCGGAATCACGCCCAATTGCCTTTTGTTTCCCCAGTGCTGATGTTTACACACCACACTCATTTAAGGCTGAGTTGACCTAGGGGAGGCCTAGGGCCGGCTCAGATATCACTCACCACTGATGTTAGCCATGGCTGGGAATCAAACAAAGGTCGTCAAGTTTGTAATACAGTGCACAGACCACCTAACCACCACTAATCCAACCCTATGAAAACAAAGACATATCCTTAATAGACCTTTGGGGAAAGTGCTGTTAGCGAGCATCTATGAAGGCCAGCACGGCACACGAGGGGGTGGGTCACCAGCACCATGCCTGGCCACCTTTGTCTCCATAATGGCTACCTTTTCCAACACACACACAGACACACAACTGGAGAGCCAACCGTTGTATAATACGGCACCACATGCTGTAACGCAAAAGTGGTAGCGCGTCCGTCCGTCCATCTGTCATTGTGCGCGCGTGTTTGCAGAGCGCCAGAAGAAGCGTCGGGTGGAGAAGCTGGAGGAGGAGCTGGAGGGACTGAGGGATGCGCTGAAGCACACGCAGGGCGACCTGCAAAACGAGAGGCAGGCGCAAGCCTTGTTAAGCCAAAAGGTATGAGAGCAAAGACAAGATTTATTTCATATACCATTTAACAGACCTTCACTCATGCTCCTCTTGCTGCCTTCCATTGCCTGGAACTCTCTTTCCCCAGCCATCTGTGCTGTCAACTCCTTGCTCCTGTTCAAGTCTGGGCTCAAGACCTTTTTTTTCTTCTGCCTCTCTGTATAAAATAAATGTGCCCACTGTTAATGTGCAGTGTCTGGAGATGCAGTCGCAATTCAATGCTGCATGCGTCCAGATTGTATATTATAAAGTGCCGATAAGATTCCTCGCTAAATAAATTTCAATATACAGTCTTTTTTCAATCCATTCTGGGTGACGGCATCTTCACGCCATGTCTGTCATGCTTCACCACACTGGACAGTGCAGGTTTTGAGCATGGTGATTAACGCATTGCGCTGCAAACCTGGCAGCCAGAGTCCGATTCTAAGCATAAGATAACACCAGTAGTGAGTGATACCTGACAAAGTCCTGAAGCCCCTCTTCCTCACCGCTTTCACCAACGCAAAATTAACACATTTGGCACTTTTTATTCCCACAGTTCAATATGAACAGGTGTTGGCACCACACGCCCAAAGACAAAGATCCCCCTATATAGCCTTAACAGACTGTTGGGGTAAGTGCTGTTAGCGAGCACCTATCCCTGGCCGCCTTCGTTTACCTAGTGCCAAGGTTACACACCATGCCAGGTACTCTGAGGATGAGTCGACCTAGGGGAGATGCAGGACAAGTTCAGATATTTGTCACTGGTGTTGGCCGTGAAGAGCAAACGAATTCGGGTTGCCGGATTCGCCGCTGCACTGCCGCTCCCCACGCACGCATGCACACTTGCGCGGGCACGCTCACGCTGACAAGATGACGCATGCGTACGTGCTTGCGTCCCACAGGAGCAGGAGGCGCATCGCGAGCGTGAGAGAGACGTGCGAGAGTGGCAGGAGCGCGAGCGCAAGGCCGTGCACGGGGAGGTGCAGCGCACGCGCGAGGACCTGCAGCGTGAGATCAGCGTCCTGAGCGAGCAAAATGTGGCTCTAGAGATGGTGAGCAACAGTGCTGGGCGACATGAGCAACGATAGGACATCAATATCAATGACCAGCTCCTGTGTATACGACCTCGATGGTATCGCGTCATAGGTCATGGTGATACATTTTCTACAAAACACAACGGCCGATGCTGCCGAATCACTTACCTTCAGCAGTGTCATAGGTAGTCGACCCTGGTTAAAAAGTGAAAAAAATGTACCCCTGACCCTCTAAACATAATTTAAGTTTGTGTGTGTGGAGCTATGAGCTACTCAGTTGTTGGGCATTTATGATGTCGGTAACCTACGCCAATGCGGACCACTGCTCTCTGATGAAGAGCGCTGCTGGCTTCGGCTGAGTGGGTGGCCGAGGTCGGGGTCGTTTGAACATTGAGGCCATACAAGGCGATGACGACGTGGTTGAATAAAACCTCGGCCAATGTATCGCTGCTCTAGTGAGCACTCACTGCCGAACGTGCACGCGCAAACACGCTCGCGCAGGCGCACACGACGTGAGTGGCACTGGTTTTTTACAAGTATACGCGCAACCCTTTATGTCGATCCACTAATGTGGCGTAACATCATTGGCAGGGGCCTTGGGGGGAGGAATGAGATGGGCACCCCCCAAACTGTCCAGCCTCTGCCCCTCTTTGTAGCCCAGCACGTGGTTCCCAGGGGGAATTGCATCGCTTACACACTCCATATTTGTGGGTGTTTTTGCATGTGCAGCGTGTGCAGGAAATGGGGAAAAGCCGCACAGAGGATGATATGGAGAAGCAGAACAACAGCTTAATGGCCCTGAAGGAGCAGCTGCGCAAGCAGGCAAGTACTTGTTGCATGTATAGCTCTTTCGTCAGTCAACTGCTGAGTAAGAGTGTCCTCACTTTGTGTGGATTGTGGGGGCTATTTGATGACCAAACATCACACTGATCAGTTGCGGGTTGGTGAAGGCAGGCAGCATAGAAGGAGAGCATAGAATTACAATACAACAATAGATTTTCCTGCACTGCCCTTTGATTGCAACGTGTACCCCACAGCAGCCTATCACAGCTATTTATGCATGATGGTCACCCATACAAGCACTTTCCAGCATAAACTTTTGCTTAGCTTCCTGAGTCTAATGAGATCTGTTGCATCTCTGGTATTTTGGTCTTAGGGAGGCTAGTGCTTACTGGTTGTGAAATTGACTTGCAATGATTAACATGTCTTTTGACCAAACCACCCTTATACAAATAATATAAGGCCACTGGAAAGTTGGATAGAGCGATTGTGCAGTAGTGATGAGCTCACGATACTGTGAACCCGACCGACCACCTGGCCGCACCTGAAATCAGTGGTGAGTGGTAGCTTAACCGATCCTCGCACCTATCCCACACCACTTCACAAACCCGCATCGACCAGCGTGGTCAAGTATGATCATACAACCTCCATGACTACAATGGCATGGAGATGCCGTCATCCAGCAGTGGATTTGTAAAGGGTTATGAATTATTATTAATCACTGAAACATCTGGTTGGGTGGAATTGTATGATGACCATTCACTTGGCAATTTTTAGGTCATGAGTTCAAATCCCAGTTTGGGATTGTTATGCTTTTGCAGACATCTAAGGGGGTTAGGGTCAAGCAAGTTCCTAGTGAGATTACTAAAAATAAAAACCGGGGGTCTCCTGAGGTTGCACAAGACAGGATGAAAATCTGTCTCTTCCCATTCCAAGTGCTTTTGTGCTTCTCCAGGGCTTTCTAAAGGCAGTGTTGCCAAACTTGGCACAGCTGATTTGCCCAGTGCTGTGCTTTGTTGTTAATCCTGCTAATTAACATTCCACTGGGTTGTGTTGTGTTGTATATGTTGGGTATGAAAATTTGTTATGTTGTATGCGTGCGTGGGTGAAATTATTATGTTGTATATGTGGGTTATGAATATTCAGTGGAAATAATAATAATTAAATGAAATTTGGCCAAATGTGTAATTACCCGGAAATATGTTAATTTATGTAATTACGCACATTTTAATTATGCCAATTCGAGAGGTAATCGTATTAATTATGCGAGTGGGTGTAATTATGATAATGCAAGTCGTTATGATAACCAGACCCCGGTTCACCCCGTTATCGCTTTAACGTTTACTGAGTATGTATTAGTGTGTTTATTAAGGTCACCAAGTTCAAATCTCAACGCAGAAGCAGATCTTATGCATAGATTTCAGGAAAGAATCACACAACCACTTCTGTATTGATCAATTTATTACTAATTCAACCTTAACTATGATATAGTATGCGAACTCTCAATCCCGGAACGTCAATACGGCATCAATACAGTATCATCAACGATTGTCGGATTTCACTTCGACAACTGCACATGGATCCCGCCTAACGCGATGGTTGTTAGTGAGAGAGAGAGTCGTTAAAACGTGCAAATACTATGCTAAGAAAACCTTAACGTTAATAAATGATTATACTCAATATTGTTCACGCAGTACCGCACTCCTTATTGATCATACGCAACCCTTATCACGTTGTTAACACCTTGGGTCACGGAACAGTTGAATATTCTGTAGAGGATGCGAGTACGTGCGGCGATTATGACTGAAAGATACTTGAAAGATTATACGGCGATAAAAAAAAAACACAATCAAAAACAGTTATTATTCTTAAAGGCACCAATCTCAACAGATACATCGGCAGGTTATCTCAGAACGGCTCGGAGTAAGGGCCTGCGACGGTGCTCCTTTTCCGAAGATCGTTATCTTATACCAAGTTTACTAATTGGGGACCAGATCACCTGATAAGGATCCGGTGGGCCACCACTCCCCACGTGAGCGTGGCTCGGCGGAAGGAGGTGCCAAGAATCAGTTCGTATTGATGGATCTGTTGGGAATTTATGCGATTAAGAGTACAGCCCACTAAATATTAAAGATAAAAATTAAGAATACTCTTATACGACGGAGGCCACCACTCGGTCTCGTTGTGATGCCTTCCCAGCCACGGATGACTTAGGGGTTCGAGTGTGTTTGAGTGGTAAGAGTTGTCTTGAATAGTCAGTGTTCGGAGTCGATTCTTTATGTCAAACAGACGCCTGGTGGTCGTGTGGTGAGGGGGCGGTGCGCGTCATACGTATCAGGCGCTCTCCTGTCACCGTGGTGAATTGGCTCGGATGGCTGTTGATACGCTGTCGCAGTTCGGAACCCGGTCGGTAGGTGGCGCCCACAACTCGCTCGTAGCGTGCAGCGTTGGATCGTCGCCAAGTCGCGACGCTCACCACCGGCGGCAGCGGAGATCTCCGGCGGCAGCAGAGATTGACGAGCTGAAGATGAGTCGAGCCGACCCGCTGGTCGCAGCTCGCTCCTGAGTCGACCCTCCCGGTCGAGCTCGCTCCTGGGTCGACCCGCTGGTCGCCCTCGCTCCTGAGTCGACTCTCTGGTCGCACTCCTGAGTGGACCCGCTCTGTCGCACTCGTTCCTGAGTCGACTCTCTGGTCGCACTCCTGAGTGGACCCACTGGTCGCACTCGTTCCTGAGTCGACCCTCCCGGTCGAGCTTCTGAGTGGACCCTCCCGTCGCACTGGTTTCCAATGTTCAGGATCCGTTCCTTTATGCTGAAAAATCCCCCTGGATCCCGCCCACAAGGCGGGGCTTCCGATTTTTGCTGTGTCAGGATCTGTCCGTAGGCAGGTGTGTCCATGTGTGTGTCCGTATGTCCTTGTGTGCATCACTGACGGTATATTCCGTTGTCAACTCCCTCCATAAAACCCACGAGCAAACAACCAGATGTTACAAATTGTCTCGAAGTCGTCTCTCTGTCTGGGTGCAATTTATCTCTTGTCTGGCCTTCTTCATGAACCCAAAACACAGACGTTACAAATCGTCTCATAGGCGTCTTTGTTCGTGTTGCACAACCTGGAGGGGGGCAACACTCTCTCCGACCCGGCGCACAAAGAAATGGTTAAAAGTTTTAAGTTAACATTTGTCCCTTACTATTTCACAGTTATGATTCTGTATGTAACCTAAGGTCTGTCGTTTCCCATCGTGGTGCCCGACCCAAGTGTAGGTGTTTCCACGAGCGTACACACACTCCTATCCCGCGCTGCGGGGATACAAAGACGGCCGGGATCTCCCTTTCTCTCCGACCCTGGGTTTAACATCGTTTTTTTTATTATGTATTATATTCGACCTGGTTGTGATTCATCCCGTTATCCTGGCTTTTCCATAAGTTTTACTTTTGTCTTTCATGCATATACTTATTACTATAAATTTATTTCCGATATCTTAGGTTAAGGGGTAAGTTTCTTGATCCTAGGAATTCGTATTCCTTGGTGCCTGGATGGTTATATAAGCGGAATATAGTTTATGGTGAATAGAGTTAACATTGATGTTATGTGCGATACTATGTATTGTGATGTCTTTAACTTAACTTGTTTGTCAGGGCTTTACTGACACGAAGTTGCATTCATAGCCCGCAGTCTTTGCCCCACCCTATCTCTGCTCGCCGTTGTTGTTGCCTGCCGTTAATTCAAGGCCTCATTAATTTCCGTCACTCCTGAGTAGGTGAGGGCGGTTGAACCTTGGAGTCAGTTCTGGTTTTTGTCTGCCTGCTTCTTCTTGTGTCCCCTGACCCCGGGAGTTATTATTCTACTTTATGGCCTGTCGAAGCCCCACTCGCTGTTGCTGGGCTGGTGTTGTTCCCGGCTTTTTGCTTACGTTTGCAGTTCGCCGTGCTCTTGATTTCCTTCCCTCTTCAACCTTATATTGACTATTCGCTCCTGTCTGGGTGCGATTCAATTTTGACTTAGGAAGGTTCTGATTGTCATATGCTTCGGGTCGAATTGTATAGAAAGTATTGAAGTATGGAAATAACATTTCATATTGACTTAATAATGGTGATGGTTCAGTAGGCGTAACTTGTGGCCTGGTTTAATTGGAGTGGGTGTGAATATCGATAACTTTAGCCTACCCTGTTGTTAAATTCCGACTTTAACGTTACTTTAATAGCAATACAGAATAATTGAGCTTTTTGTCTTAACTAGGCGAATGCGAACTTCTGGTGACCCCCGCAGCCGTGTTGTTCAGCTGGGTCTTGTGCCTTGAGAGATATACAACCCTCTTTTAAATCACCTCTCCCCCTGTCCACCTTCTGCTCTGGGAGTGTTTATTCTTGATTCCAGGTCCAAGGCCCCCTCACATCCAGACGCGCAGGGTTGTTTACATCAGCTCCCCCCCTGTGCACGTGTTCTAACTAGCTCGGAATTCCTGAACACACAATCAGTGATGATTCCTGGCTTTCTGTGGTTGTGATTTAGACAAAGGCGCCTCTGTTTCTTCCATTGCCTTTGAGTCGACACTGCCCTATTATTTGCCCATGTGCTGAGGTCATAGAATTCGTTTTGACTTCAGTAATATTAACATTCAGTATTGGATTAGCAAATGGGCAATGGTTCATTGATGTAGCTCGCAGCCTGGTCTCCAGTTTGAGCGAGCGCGAGGATCGATAATTTAGCCTACTCTGTTGTTGAATTTCGAATTTTGACGTTACTTTAAAACCATGCAGGATGATTGGGCTTTTGCCTTAACTATGTCTGGCTGACACTCCCACTGTCTCTGCCGCCTGCACGGGTGACATGTGCCCGTTCATCAGGCCTTATCTTCCCTTGAAGCAACGTTGTAAATTCTGCCATCCTAGCCCTCCTCCGGTTCATTACTTAACAACACCTGGTGTTTTGCAGTTTGCTGCGCTTGGTGTGTTTCACTCATTAAAAAAAACAAGTAAAAAGATAATATATAAAAATCATCAAATATTATTAATCTCAATTATGGAAGAAGGGTTAGTAT